CCCCCCCCCCCCCCCCCCCCCCCCCCTTTTCCGGCACAGTGTGAGTTCTGCTTCATCTGCGTCGATGGCGGCGAACTTTTGGTGTGCTCGTCAATAGGCTGCCCGCTCGCCTACCACCCGGCGTGTCTCCGCCTCGCCCATCGTCCGTCTCCGCTCGATGGCCCTGATGACGACTGGTTCTGCCCACGCTGCCGGGCAGAGGGCCGCGGCTCGCCGGTTCCGCCCAGCGCCAACCACTTTGATGACTCGGACGAGGCGTGCTACCTCTGTGTCGAGGGTGGCCAGCTGCTCTGCTGTGAGCGGTGCACTCGGACGTACCACTCACGCTGCCTCGCACGCCGACACCGCCCGCCGCTGGATGCTGACGACGACGACGAGTGGGTCTGTCCGCTCTGCCTCCTCTCGCCGTCCGAGTGCGAGGCTGGCAACGACGACGTCTCCTACATTCTCAACAACGACATCGCCAGCCAGCACGGCCGCGGCGGAAAGCGCTCGCTTGCACCGGCGCCGCCGCCACGCGAGATCCCGGTCGACAGCGAGTGCTACGAGTGCGGCCGGAGCGATGGTGCGCTCGTTGCCTGTGACGACTGCCCACGCGTTTTTCATGACCGCTGCGTCGTCGAGCGCTACCGGCGCGACCCGGACGCGCACCCGGACGAGCTCTGGCACTGCCCGATCTGCGTCGTCGCCAAGGGCCTCGGCTACTCGCTTCGCCGGCGCGACACCATTGCTCCTCCGGCGGCGGCATCGGCACCAACCACACCGGCCCAGCGCCAGTCGCGCTCGCGCAAGGCGTTGTCGACAAGGAGCTCGCGTCCCCGCCGCTCGCCGCGCAAACGCTCGCGTTCCTCGGCCTCGCGCACTGAGCGCATCCCGCGGAACATGGTCGCGTACCGCCCACCCAAGCGCCACCGCTCGCTGCTGGCTGTCAATACCTCGTCCGGTTCGGGCTCGTCGTCGACTTCGGGCTCGCTACTTGGCGCTCGTGCGCGCACCCGCTCCGCTCGCCGCACCGCCTCGGCTCGCCGCACCACCTCGCCGCACTCGCGGGTCCGGTTTGACTCGTCGGCGTCGGGCTCGTCGTCAGACTCCTCGTCTGGCGTCCACGGCTCGCAGCGGACCCACCACAGCCACGGACCAGGCGGACACGGGCACGGGCGCGCCCGCCACGGCCCGGGCAAAAACAAGGCCAAGCTTGCAGGCAAAGCCAAGTCTGGCACTGCCGCCGAGCCGATTGCCGTCAACCCCGACATCACCTTTGACTCGGTCGGCGGTCTCGACGACCACATCCGCGCTCTCAAGGAGCTTGTCGTCCTTCCGCTCGTCTACCCGGAGACCTTTGCCGCCCTCGGCCTCCACGCACCAGCGGGCGTTCTCTTCCACGGCCCACCCGGGACAGGCAAGACGCTCATGGCCCAGGCCGTGGCCAACGCCGCGTCGGCATCCGGAACACCTGTCGCCTTTTTCATGCGCAAGGGCGCCGACTGCCTCTCCAAATGGGTCGGCGAGGCCGAGCGCCAGCTGCGGATGCTCTTTGACGCCGCCGCCGCCGCCGCCCCGTCCATCATCTTTTTTGACGAGATCGACGGCCTCGCCCCGGTCCGCTCTCACGACAAGACCAGATCCATAACTCGCTCGTCTCCACACTTCTGGCCATGATGGACGGCGCGTCTGCCCGCGGCCGTGTCGTCGTCATCGGCGCCACCAACCGCGTCGACGCCATCGACCCAGCCCTCCGCAGACCTGGCCGCTTTGACCGTGAGCTCCTCTTCCCGCTGCCGTCGGTCGAGGGCCGCAAGGCCATCTTGGCCATCCACACTGCCAAAATGCCCAACCAGCCGTCCGACGACACACTCACGAACCTCGCCGCCGCCACGGCAGGCTACGGCGGCTCGGACCTCCGCGCGCTTTGTACCGAGGCGACTCTTGCCGCCTTTCGCCGCACCTATCCCGCCGTCTACACCGCGGCCGGCAAGTACACGCTTGACGCCGCGGCTGTGACCGTCACTGACGCCGACTTTGACGCCGCGCTCGCGTCAGTCACTCCAGCGTCGGCCCGCTCCTCGCCTGCCGCTGCCTCGCGCCTCACCGAAAACGAAGTGCTGCTGCTCGACGCGCCGCTCCGCGCTGCCCTTGCCGGCCTTCAAGCCCAGGCTCCAAACCTCATCCCGACATCTGCAACCCATCCGGCCTCGCACTGGCTCCTCCACCCGGTGCCTCTCCATCGCCCTGCCCTCTGCCTGGTTGGCGATAGCGGCTCCGGCTCCTCCCGCCTCCTTTGGGCGCTCGCGCACACCTGCCAGGGCATGCCGGTCTTCAATCTCTCATCCACCGCCATTCATAGCTCGCCGACCGGGACTGCTGTCGCTGACGCCTTCCAGGAGCTCCCGCGCGCGCTCCCGGCCCTGATTGTCATCCCAGACCTCGATACCTGGGTCGACCTCGTCCCGCCTGCCTCCATTGAGGCCTTTCTCGCCGCTTACACCGCACTCCCGCCGCCATTGCCGGTCCTGCTCCTTGCGTCGTCGGCGGTCCCGCTCGATGAGCTCGGGCATCCGCGGCTGGCGGCACTCTTCTCCGGCCCACGCGCCACGCTGCACGTCCCGCGCCCCTCGCGCGCCGCCGTCGAGGTCATCCTCGCCGCCCATCGCTCTTCGTTCTTCAGCTACCAGCCGGGCAGCGTGCCCGAGACCGACGACGAGGATGAAGACGAGAGTCTCGGGGCGACACATGACATCCACCGCCCCTCGACAGGCCTCCCTGCCCCAGCGCCGCTGCCCGGAGCACTGTCGCCCGCTGACGCACTGGCGGCAATCGCACGTCGCTCAGCCGCCGCCACAGAGCACTCGCCCGCCTCGCTCTCGGACGAGGCCGAGCTGGCCTCACTCGAGGCACAGGAGGAGCACGCCCTCCTAGAGCTTCGCATCTACCTCCGCAACGTCGTTGCCGAGCTCAAGCGCCAGCCGCGGCTCAAGCCTTTTGTCCGCCCAGTCTCGGCCAACGCCTTCCCCGACTACTACGACGTCATCGACACGCCGCTCTGTCTCGAAGACATGGACGACCGCGTCTCGGCCGGGCACTACACCTCGACAGCTGCCTTTATGGCTGACATCAAGCTCATTCGAGACAACGCCTACGAGTACAACCCGCAAGGTGACCCAGCGCGGACCCGCAACCGAGCCGACGAGATGTATGACCTTGCCGCCTCGCTCATCCACCGCTTCGATGTTCGCACCCTCGGCTCCATGCTCAAGCGGCTCGCCACGCTTCGCGCGCGTCACTTCCGGGTCCTTCGTTCGGCCGGCGAGCACGCCAAGGCCAACGTGTCTGGCAGTCATGATCCGCCGCTCTCAAGTGGCTCGGCTCCGCTCCCGCCCCCGCCGCCGGTCCTGCCCCCGCTCCCGCCGCCGCCTCCCTCGCCTGCCCGCCGGACGGCATTCATCCCACCACCCACCCACCATATTGCTGCCTGGGCTGAGCTCACCGACTCATTGCTCGAGGCGCTGTTCGCCGACGGGCCGCCACACATCGACGCCGTCTTTCGGGTTCTCGCCGAGCTCGGCCGCATCATCGAGCAGCACAAGCACGCCGCCGATAAGCGCCCGGCACTGCAGGCTGCCGCTGGCCTGCTTGTGTAGTGATACTGTCTTTCCTCTTTACCGCATCGATACCCGCATCGAGTCGATGCTGTTGGCCAGCGACGCTGCCTCGAATCGCGCGTTGGCGAGCAGGCCCGAAGTCTGGTTGTACGCGAGCTCGGTCTCCTTGTAAAGACTAAGGTTTGCGTTGTGAAGAGCAGTGTCGCGGTCGCCCTCGAGCAGCGCAAGCCGCGACTCGAGTCGCGCCACCTCGCCGAGCTGGATCCTGTGCTTGCGTGCGAGCTCGTTCGCCGCGTCAAGCGCCTCCATCGCCTCGGATGCTGCGGCCTCGTGGCCGCGGACCTTGGCCAGGGCGGTGTGGACGCGCGCAAGCTCGGCCGCGGCAGACGTCGACTCGTCCGCAGCCAGCGCCTGTGATTCGGCCAGTGATTCGGCGGCGTGGACAACGTCAGCAAAGTGCGTATGTGCCGTCCGAAGCCGCGCCGCGAGCGCATTGATTCTGTTCCGCGAGCCGGTTCCGATCGTGTTGACGTTGAGCGCGCTTGCCGCGGCGGCCACAGACTCGCGCAGCGCGAGCTTGGCGGCGTCGGCACTCCGGGCGCTGGCGTCGGCCGCAACCGCCGCCTCGCGCGCGGCGGCCAACTCTAGCTCCAGCTTGCGAACCTTGTCGTGCGCCAAGGTGGCGGTCACTGCTGCTGCCGCTGCTCGGTCCTCCGCACCGGCAAGCTCGTTCATCGAAGCTGCCAGGCTTTCAAGCTCAGCAAGAAGCTCTGTCAGCTTGGCATGCGAGCCGAGGCCGGCGGCGTCGAGCAGCGCCCACTGCGACGGTCGCGCGTGTGCGGCGGAGACCTGAACAAGTGCCGACGACTCGTCGAGAAGCGACGAGAGGAGATCAGCCTGGAGCGAGAGCAGCTGCGTGGTCGACGATGTGAGCGATCGCAGCTGGTCGCGGAGCACGAACCGCTGGGTGTCGAGCTCGTCGAGCTCGGGTGGCAGCGCGCCAGCAAGGAGATCCGGGCCGACAGCGCTCGCAGTCGCCGAGTATGCCATCAGCCGCTTCATCTCTTGCTGGACACCCGCGAGCTTGGTGTGTGTGGTTGCAACAGCTGTCTCGAGTGCCGCGCCTTCGCGCTGGGTCTTGCGCAGCATGTCGCGGGTCGCGCCAAGCGAAGCTCGGAGAGAGGTCACTAGCTCCATGACCTTGGTCGACGGCGGCTCCAGCTGCTCGACTGCGTCAAGAAGAACATCGAGCTGAATCTGGATCTTGTTCGTGATCTGCACTCCCGCCATCGGCGTATGCACGTTATGCCGCGTAGCCTGCATCGCGACTTGCTGTGGCGCGGAGGCCGCTTCAGTATCACTTGATGACTGTATGCGGATAGTTGACGCTGTAGACTGCGGCAGTGGCGACGGAGCGGCGGCGACCGAAACGTCGAGATCACCGAGTGTGATGCCCGATGGGGGATGGGCTGTGAATGGGCTGGCTAGCGGCTCTTGGCGGTACACCGGCGCATCGTCGTCGGTGAAGACAATGCCGATTCCGGCGTCACGCGCCGCATCACAAACCTGGTCGTCGAGATCGTCAGCGTCGAGCCCGTTGCCGCGAACATCGATCTCTACCAGCTTGGGCATGGCTGGCGCGTGCGCAACAAGCTGTGCCACAGCAGATGTGTCAAGAGCGGTGCTTGCAGCAGCAAAGACAACTAGAGAGATACCCTGCGTTGCCAGTGTGGCGAAGAGCGAAACAATGCTGCTGGTAGTCAGCTCAGGATTGTTGGACACGTCGAGGACTTCGAGAGACGGCAGGGCGCGCGGCAGAGCGCTTGCGAGAAGGTTGGCGTCGTCGGCATTGATGCTTGTTCCTTTGAGCACAAGTGTGGTGACTCCTTCAAGCGGATATGGAAGCGCATCCAGTGCCGCTGCCAGCTCGCTAACACGTCCGTCGCCGAGCTGTACACCTTCAAGGTAGATGCCGCAGATGGGAGCAGGAGCCGGGAGTGCGCCAACGTTTGCGGCGGCAAGATGGACGACCTGCTGCAGATCATGGCCGTCGAGGTCAAGGTATCCGAGATAAAATCCATCGAGCCGCTCGGAGGTAGCAGCCGCATGCCAGCTTGCGAGCAAGTCGATGAGCGACGGCGAGTGTACGCGGGTCATGGCGAAGGCGAGGGCCTGTCGCCACTCGTCGAGCCCGTCGCCAAAGTAGGCGGCGTCTCGAGCCGAGACGGGCTTCTGCTGAGGAGCCAGCGTGACATCTGTGGTTGGGCGTCGCGTTTCAGCACGGGCAATGAGGCTCGGGACGTCTTTGGGCAGAACTCGGGTCCTGGCGAGCGAGAGCCGCTGCAGCGCTGGCGCCCATCGACTGCCTGCATCGAGGAGGCGCTCAACGGCTGCAGTTCCGAGCGGATTGTCGTCAAGAACAAGGGTAGCAAGGGCAGGCAGCTCGGCGGCTAGAAGCGTAGCGACAGAGGTCGGCCCGAGACCGACGTCACCCAGCGCCAGATGGACGAGCCTGGGCCGAGGGCCGGCGAGCCATCGGCGGACGCCTGCGTTGCCGATGGGCGAGTCGACGACAACAAGTTTTTCCACATCCGGACAGTCATTAGCCAGCGCCTCCATGACCTCTGTCAGGCTTCCCTCTGCTGCGGTACAGTGCCTCAGCTCGATCGAGGCGAGCGCCGGCGAGGCACGCGCTACGGCGGACAGCAGACTCTGATCGACCACGTTGGAGACAATGACGAGCGAGGAGAGTGAGGGGAGGAGGATCGAGCCAGCACCGAGGGCCGATATCAGGGCCGCGCGCGTGTCATCTGTCATGGCGTTGTGTGAGAGCTCGAGCTCCTCCATGCCGGCATTTGCAGCTGCGACGATGAGGCCGCCTGCTGCGGCTGCGGTGTCCGTTGACGCCATGTGTGTCGAGACGAAACGGAGGGCCATGACCCGCGGCGGTAGTGATGACATTGTGGCGGCAATATCTGCCGACGTGGCAGATGCCTCGCACGTCACCGTAGCCATGGCTGGTATGTATGTAGAGTGCGTGAGCTCGGCGTAGAGAAGTGGCCGTTGAGCAAGCGCCAACCATGATGGTCCGGCGCCACCAACAATGATTGAGATTGACCGTCAACCAACGATTATCGGCCGCCATGACACCACCAACAGTGATTGAGATTGACCGTCAACCAACGATTATCGGCCGCCATGACACCACCAACGTTCAAAGCACCGCCTGACTGCCCCTCCCCTTCTGGCCTACTCCCCCCCCCCCCCCTCCCCCACCTACACTCCACACACTCCACCCCCCACCCACCCACACTCCCCCCCCCCCCCCTCCCCTCCTCCTCCTCCTCACTTCATTTCCACTCCACCCGCACCCCTCTCCACCTACACAGTGCTGGTACTGGCATCCCCGACCTGACCTGTAGTGTATCTGGCGGCACCCGGCAGCGCTACTGGGATTGAAAGCCACAGCGACTACCGCTGCTTCTGGCGACCACATCATCCAAGCTG